GAGGATGGATTACGCTTTTTATTTAAAGGAAGAACAATTGCTTTTTTCCAAGAGGTAGGGAATACTGAATTCTGAAGGGAGAAATTGTAGATAAAAAGGAGAGCTGGAAGAATTTCAGAGAGACTTATTTTTATTAATTTGACAAGGATGCCGTCTGGCCCTATGGAATTGGTGTGGGATTTCATTACCGCGGTTAACAGGTCTTTGGGAGAAATGTCGGAAAAATAAAAGTTATTGTCGTTAAAGGATATTTCTGGAGAAAAGCCGGAAGAGGAAGGTAGAGAAGAGGTATTAGTGACAGATATAAAATAAGAGTTTAAATCATCGGAGGATACAGGAAAGGCTGCGGTAGGGGATCTGGAAGGATTACAAATGGAAAGGTTACGAAGCAGTAGCCATTTCAATTTGATATCAGGAGCTGAGGAAACGGTTTCATGGAAGTAGGAAGCTTTCGCACGCCGGATCCTTGTCTGTGCCAAGTTGCGAAGCACCCTGAACGCTTGGTAGTCATCTGCGAGCCTGGTACGTCTAAAACGTCTTCTTGCAGCGTCGCGCCTCTTCTGCAGATCTTTGATTTCCTGACACATCCAAGGAGCTGGCCGGTGACGAAAGGTAGAGGTTTTGAGGGGAGCATGGGTATTGAGAATATTGAGAAGATTGGTGATAAGAATGTCAACCATGGAGTCGATAGAAGAGCAAGCATATATTCCATTCCAATCTAGGGTTTCTAGCTCAGGTAATATTTTTTTCTCGAGTAAGGATATCTAGGTGACGGAAGGTGATAGTTCGAGGCTGGATTGAAGAAGTTCGGATATTATATGTTATTTGTATAAGATCGTGAAATGATAGGAATGATACTGGCGATTGAGAAGAGGAGAGATTTTGTGCAGAGTCTATAATGTAGAAGTCTAGCCAAGTGTCGGACCTACTGGTGTGGTGAGTGGGGGAAAATGGAACGATGAAGAGGTGCAGAGAGAAAGTTAGGTTTTCTAGATAGGATTTGTCATTGGAGTTAGAGTGGAAATTGGTATTGAGGTCATCGGAGATGATTATTCTGGGATATAGAGGAACGAAGTTGAATAGGGTTGATTCAAAGGACTGATCAAATGGTACATGGGGAGGATGATATACCACAGTGTAAAGGAGAGGAAGATCCTTGCAATGGATTTCTACTAGAAGATATTCAACTTGAGGATGATCGGAGGGTGGTGAGGAGTCGAGGATTCGAGTCTTCAGGCTATTATGGACAAACATGGCTACTCCTCTGCCAGTCCGGCTTACCCGGTCATGACGGAGGAGGGTGTGATTAGGCAAGGAAACAGAAGAGGATGGGATGTAAGGTTTAGGCCAAGTTTCAGAGATTGCGATAGTATGATAAAAGTTTTGAGTGAAATATTGCAGGAACTCGTCATAGTGGGCAGGGAGGGATTGAGAGTTAACATGACAGGTGATTAGGGTACTAGACATGAGAGGAATTGGGATGGAAACAGTCAGAGTTGGGTAGAGAGACTCTAAAACAAATAGAAAATACTAAAAGGCGTTTACAATTAATGAAAATAGCAGAAAAGAAAGTGTAAGCAGAAACCAAAAAAAATAATAAAAAACATATGGTCAATAAAATATAAATTAGTGTGTAAGTGTGAAGAGATATCTCTATGCGTAGAAGTGAAAATGTTCCTTTGTAGATAATTGAGTTCAAAGTTATTTTAATGAGGATGAGGAGTAGACGAATTCTTCGTGGTCAGGCAAATATATCGAGGTCCGAGGCCTGTTCAATCAGAATAACTTTATGCCCGTCCTCCTTCCGACATCGCACCTCTCCGGCAGCAAACCACGTATATTTGATTTTCACCGCAGCTCTCTTCTGTCGGGCAAGCCAATATAAGTGTCTGTTCTTGGGAGTCATTTCTTCACTCAGATATATCCGGTGACAGTATGATATATTTATGTATGAGATGTCTACTAAAAAAAAGGGTACTACCAAATTTTTAAATTTTCCAAAAAAAAAATGACAAAATGCCTATAAAAAGATTATCATTGATAGAATAGTTTCTAACATGTCATACAATGAGGTGGATCGATTACAAAGAATAAAGAATATGTTGAATTTTTTCAGTATTTTTTTCAAAATTACGGAACCAGTACAATTTTTTCTGATAAACTGAAGTTTTGCCTTACTATGGGTCAGTTTGCCTTCTTTATGACTTTTTCAGTTCAAGTTATTTTTTTTGTAAATATTTGTTTTAGTTATACAATATATATATATATATATATATATATATATATATATATATATATATATATTTTTTTTTTTTTTTTTAAATTAGTATAGAGAACAAAAATTAAAATTTTATTGTCCTTTTTTGTTAGTATGCATATATATTACATATTCATATTAATCTGAATTTTCAGAAAATTCTCTTAATGTATTATACATTATGTCGTCAGCAACATGTTAAAGTAATGAATGTTCAACATTGGGTAGGTTATTGGTCTGTGGGCCAAACACCCTCGCCGTGCATTCCACCCCCAACATTCCTATAAACTGCATATTGTTGTGTTTCTTGTAACTATTTATTAAAAAAAAAGTCAATGTTCCCACAAAAAAAAGTGAACGAACTGCCCCAAACATGGCAGACTGACGACTTTGACTTTAGTTAGTTTTTTGGTCATTGAGAATCAGCATTTGGCTTAATTTTATCATAGTTGGTCTTTTATTAAAGCTGGATAGTCAGACAAAAAGACAGCATGGAAACATATTAACAAATAATTGGCATATGCAATAAAAAACAATAGTAAAGTCAATTTTTTCAACAACAAAATTTTGAAGTTGATTATCGAGCGTCGTTTGTAATTAAACGGCCAACAATAACGCAGAACGTGCTGAAATAACACATCTGGGGAATATATTTCTCTTTCTAAATCACTGATTACTTTTTAAAGTATTTGAAGCAGTTCCGTAGGAAATGCACTTAAGCAGCAGAAAAGCGGTACTGGCGTAGGTGCCTACAGGCCTATACCACATCATTCAGTACTCATAAATGGCTTAGTTATAGTGCTATTATCACTTTTTGGTACATTATATTGATTTTATTAACTAACAAATATTAATGCAATAATTTAATTATCCAAATTAAACATTTTTTTTAAAAATTTATAATTTCTTTTTTTTTAATTTAATTTCCTTTATTCTATAGGAAGGTCGGTTAAGAAGGTCTTTATTGTAAAAGTGATATAATTATAATAATAAAAATTGATTTAAAAATAATTTGCTGAATATCTTTTTTTTTTTAATTTAAAGTTTGCAATTTAACACTTTGATTTGTATATTTACTGATCCTCAGTGGTAATTTAAATTGTATAAACTTTCCTGGAAATGAATCATATTAATACCGGTTTTATAAATTAAAATAATATATACCTAATCTGGACTACATATAATGAATAGTTGATGAGTTGTTTAGTAAAACTCATATATCACAAATTCACAAATTAATTTTTATTTCCTTTATTTTGTTGGGAAGTTGGACCATATCATTAAAAAATTGGAAATTTTAATATTCAATGCATTATTCTCTGTGCTCAAAGAAAGACGCAAAGGGCGTAGCTATAAGTTCTTCTAGGTAACCGGAACTGATTGTTAGTATTTGGTTTATTTTTTTGAAAAGAACTTTATATTCAATTGGTACTGAAGTTGCACATTGGGACTATTTTCAATTTGCAACTTCTTTTTCAATGTGAAACTTGAGTTTCTCAATCCTAAATAAAGTTCTTGTCACTAAAATAAACCTCGTTTACTTCGTCCAGACCTACTGACTTGCCAATTGCTACGAACAAATCTTTCTTGCTGATAAAATGGTCTTCACCATAAGAATTGTTGGTGCATCGTCCCCTTCATATCATCCAAACTACTCCAGCATTTGACCCCCTTTTAGCACCATCTTTAAATATTCTGTTCATCTGTCTACTATATATTCGTTTAGCCATACAATGGATACTGATCCTTGTTTTCTTTTCCGAGATTTTGGCACTTCCTTTCTCTTTCGCTTAATGTATTTTTCCAATTTTTGGGTTTAATTTCGAGTTTGACCTCATTTTGTGACCTAATACGAACAATCAGTTCTGGTTACATAGAAGAACTTATAGCTACGCCCTTTGCATCTTTTTTTGAGCACAGAGAATAATGCATTGAATATTAAAATTTCCAATTTTTTAATGATATGGTCCAACTTCCCAACAAAATAAAGAAAATAAAAATTAATTTGTTAATTTGTGATATATGATTTTTACTAAACAACCCATCAACTGTTCATTATATGTAGTTCAGATTAGGTATATATTATTTTAGTTTATATAACCGGTATTAATATGACTCATTTCCGGTAAAGTTTATACAATTTAAATTACCTCTAAGGATCAGTAAATATACAAATCAAACTGATACATTGCAAACTTTAAATCAAAATATCTGGTGTGTCCACTCACACGACTTTCCTACCTATTTCAGAAAAGTTTTTATATCTTTACATATGTTCATGAAGAAACAAAAAAGAATTGAACTAGATTCATTTTCCTGAAAATTTATCAAACATAAGATTTGAGTAGATTTATTTGATAAACTAAAGCAATGTAAACCGGCATAAGGTAGATCAGTGTAAAAATTTCAATACTCACTAATATTGCTGATCAAAAACTTTTTGCCATAACTAGTATTGTCAAACAATAATTTCTGTTAAAAGTAGAGGAATTAGTGAAGAATGTGTGATGCGGGCTACAGATTTTCTTACTTTCACTTAGTCATCTTTATTCTCTCATTCACCCCTTTCTGACACCAGGATATGAACCTGTAATCTTACATTGGAAATTGAATAGATGTAACTTCTAATCTTTTGCATCTATTTGACTTTTCATAAAATTAAAAATCATATGTATATGATCAGTCATATTATGTATTTGATAATTAATAATATATTTAATTATATTTATTTTTGTTCTTTTAGGAGAAATAGAAGAAGATAAATACGGAGAAATTGTTGAAAATTCGTCCAGTAATAATAAATACAGTTCATTTTCACAGTGAGTTTATTATATATATAATGAATATGATGGTCAAAATACATTATCAATTTGAGCAGCATTATATTACTAATAAGATTTTATTTTTACACATTTCATGATATCACATTCATAGTCATAACAGATTACTTGTTCTTACTATCAATATCTCTTCATTTTTTGCTTCTTCACTATGGTCTAATCAATTTATACTTCATGCGACTTGATTTTTGTATTTTGTGGTGCTGAACATGAATCTGAAGTTTTCTAACAGTTTTTTTTTTAATATGAAAATCATTAAAAGAATCACTACTTCTTATTTATTTATGTTTTTGCTTATAACGTGTAAATTATGTTTTTTAAGCACAAAAAAATGATCTGATATTAAAATAAACATTTAAAAATTACCTACTATTCATGTTTGTATCACTTTGTTATAAAATCAGATTGATGTTAGCTAGCTAGAAATAGGAAATAAAGAAGAAAAGTATCAATCACTGCTTCAAATTTGCCTTCAAAACATAAAAAGTAATAATGATCTAAATATCTTGTGGAATGAAATTAAGGATGCAATACTTAGTACTGCAAGTGAAATCTGGAGCATTCAGAAAATAAGACTCTCCACCAAAAATCCAAATGGTAGAATACATGATGAGGTTTAAAGACCTATAAATGTCAAGGAGGAGGTCTGGGAAACAGTAGAAGAAAATCTTCCTACTCACTGGAATGAGTAGATTAGAACCAGAAATGATGCTAAAAGAATAATCTGATCAGCTAAGATAGAAGACTTGAGAAGAATTAGGTCAAAAGATGATGGAATAGGGAGAATGAGATGGATTCAGCAGTGGGCCAACACTTAAAGGCCATGATGGCCAAATTTGTTAAAGTCTAGCCAATACAAAAATAAAAAAAACTTCAATAAGAATAAAAAATTAAAAAAGCTACATTTATATATAAATAAAAAAACCTGAAGATAGAAAAAATAAAGTAAAAATATTTCTGGCGAAAGAAAAATAAATTAAATGCAGACTCAGGGTAACTTGTAAACAACGTTCAACTGAATACATCTAGATCACTGAGTTTTCCTATAATCACCGGTGGGTGTCCATCTGACTGTCTGCAGCAAATTTTTCCTCCACTAAACCAAACATATTTTATTTTTGCAGTCAATTTCTTCTGCCTGGCTTAACGATAGAGGTGTTTATTGAGAGGAAAAACCTGGTGGTTGAGCATGATCCTGGCCCGATCACTTCTCTGCTCAACCATTGGCCTTGAATAAGTACTTCCTATCAAAATAATGAATCCAAAAACCTTCACGGGTTGTAGTGGGACAGGTTATTTTATTTTATTTTTTTAATTTAGAATATTTAAAATTGTATAATTAAAGTGAAACATATAATTTATTAAATAAAAAAATATATCTTATTAAAAAGATTTTTTACTAATGAAATATACCTATGTGTGGGAATATTATGGTTCTTTTTATAAATTATAGGTTTGTAATAATAATAAGGCTTAACAAATCTGAATGTTGAATGCTGAGTGCTATCTAAACCCAACCCCGCCAGATGTTATGGTCCAAATTTAATGAATATAACTTTTATTTATTTACTATATTTTTTTAACATAATCAAAGAATCAAAAATAGAACTATAGCCATTATTATGAAGAGAAGAATAGTTGGGGTGTTCAGTCAAAAAGGAAGGCAAAAATAAATTATAATATTTATTTTTACATATGCCGACGTTTCGACCTGAAGTTCAGGCCTTCATCAGGGCTAAGAAAATAACCAGATAACAAGGTATGGGAAACATAAGTAATGATGGTAAAAAAGATATTAAAAAATAAAAAAATAAAATAAAAAAATTATTAGAAAAATAAAATAGATAAATATAAAGTAAAATGGAATTGTTAGAATAATGACTAAGAACTAAGAGATAAATAATAAAAACTGTTACATAGTGTGGAATGATATGATGAAGTAGGCATAATCAAAAAGGGGTGACAAAAGTGTTACAATGGGAATCTTAGAATAAAAATTTTATTCTAATTCTATTTTATTTTATTCTAAGATTCCCATTGTAACACTTTTGTCACCCCTTTTTGATTATGCCTACTTCATCATTCCACACTATGTAACAGTTTTTATTATTTATCTCTTAGTTCTTAGTCATTATTCTAACAATTTCATTTTACTTTATATTTATCTATTTTATTTTTCTAATAATTTTTTTATTTTATTTTTTTATTTTTTATTATCTTTTTTACCATCATTACTTATGTTTCTCATACCTTGTTATCTGGTTATTTTTTTAGCCCTGATGAAGGCCTGAACTTCAGGTCGAAACGTCGGCATATGTAAAAATAAATATTATAATTTATTTTTGCCTTCCTTTTTGACTGAACACCCCAACTATTCTTCTCTTCATTATCCACGACAGTCAACCAATTACCAATTATATAGCCATTATTATTACGTAGCATATCTTTATCTTTATTACATTTTTGTATCTAAACCATGTTTATCAATTAACTTAATGACTTGCCTGTTACAAAAAGTTTATGATTTAAATTGATTTATTCTTTTAGTGGATGCAGTAATTCTTGGCAACAAGAAGATTTTGAATCTACCGAATTATTACAAAAAAAAAATCTGGAAAATGTAATGCTTACATTTAACTATGAATCAGGGAAATTGTTGCCATCTGTTATCAGGTACGTATACGGTTGTATTCGCTGAGGAAATATTAAAACACAAATCAGAATCATTTTTTTCCGAGATAAATTTTTACCCTTCAGACTAAGTAAACGTTTCATCTCAATTTCGGTCAACAATTTTTTTTGGATTTCAAGAGTTCTGTTGAGTTTTCCTATGGCCCTCCTAAAATTAATATAATGAACCTTTGCCCTAAAGTTGACCAAAAAAAAAGATATAAGCCTTGCAAGTTGCAAAAAAATATTTTCGATTCTTTGACTGTGGTATTTTTGGTGGTTTAAACAATAGAATTATTTTTTTAAATATTAGAGAACTCTAGAACTGTTAGGAGGGCTATCAAAACTCCAAAAATAATTAAGAAAATTTTACTTTGGGGGGAGTTCTGGAGAAATCAATCATTCTTTTTTATTAGAGTTTTGATAGCCCCCAAATGAATGTTAACAATTATTCTATTGAACTTAAGCTCTAAAATTATTATTAAAAGAGTTATAAGACTCGTAAGTTGCACAAAACGGGATTTCCGTTTTTCGCAACTTTTTGTGGTATTTTCGGTGGTTTAAACAATAGAACTATTTCTAAAAAGTATAGGCAACTCTAGAACTCCTAGAGAGGCTATAAGAACTCAAAATTTAAAAAAAAAAATTGAGGATGGGGAGCCAACTTCACACGGGTCTGATGACTTCATAAATTTTCTTACCTCACCCCTTGTTTTTATTCTCCATCATATACTTATATGATCCAGTCGAACTGTCGAAAAAATTTCAAAATGATTTAATAAAATTAGGGTTATTGTCATTTTTTTTTTCATATGTTTTTTCAGCTGGTAAAATGTTGGAAAATATAGGTTTTCGAATTATTCCCTTTATTTTGAGAAAAAAATGCTTACTTTTTTTATTTTCCATATTTTATTCAAATATTTTTAAAATTATTGGTCTAACAATATATATTTGTTACTATTTTTTAATATTTTAAGTTGCCTAATTTTTGTGACCAATACGAAACTCGTAGCTATAATATATTCCAATTTAGATACCAATGAATCATGTGATTTTTACCAAAAATTATAAAAACATTATATTCTCATTGGTTATTGCTTGGTAGCAACTAAATAAAGTAAATAAAGTATCCTATGAAAATGTTTGATATAAAACTTTTTTAGTAGAGATAGATACCTGAAGTTTAAGAACAAATTGATTCCACCAAGTCATATAGGCACTGAGAAACATCATTTTTGAACGATAACGGAGGTGTTCTAATTCAGCTAGCATTTTATTTGTATTTAAAGTAGATGTTCGCCTGAGATGTTACAGTGACTTTTTTGCCTGATTGACTACCTGAAAGTGGCTCTTTATATAATCAAATTTACACCTTTTTACAATTTTCTCAAAAATGGCTCTTAATAATTTTGATTAAACTCGTTATATCAATGTAAAATCAAGTGATCTTTAATACCAGGTAAGTATTATTCTGCTTGAAATATTCTGACAGGGCTTAAATGCCAATGCTTTAAAATACATTTAATTTTGTTTATTTAAAACAATTAACCATTTCTCATTGTTACTAGTAATAAAATCACAACTGCCCTATTTTTTGTAACAATTTATGATAATTTGACAATGACTTATATATATGTGGCAAATTATTTTATCTCCAAGAGTGAGCAGGTGAGCAGAAGTCTTATTGCCACGGTCTGATTTAAGTTGTAATCATTTTAATAATTACATTTTACCAGGATTGGGATTACAATTAATCTAATAGGATCTCGAGATCCCAATCAATCAAGTTCAATTGGCTTCATCTACTTTCAGACATACTTGGCTACTTTTGGAATTCCATCTACGGTGTGTTCAATATGATCTTTTTTTTTCACCTTAATGTGACTGCTTTTTGTATATGATTATTTATTTATATAGCAGATATGTTTGAATATTTTATAATCTTCCTCTGACTATTACATTTTTCTATCATTTGAATATCTATACTTTACTACATTTATATTTTATATTTTCCATATCTAATCCTTCTTACAGAGGAAGAGTGAGGCATGGAAGACATTTTTCATTTAAGGCTGTTACTGGAAATGGTATGATAACATTAGTCGGTGAAGGAGTTAGTGGCAAAAGTGTGGATACTGAACACCCTTATGTTGCTACAGGGCCATGGTTACAAGTTTTAATACCAGATTGCTATGCAGAAGAAATGGCTTCTGATCTTGACTTGTTAGAATCTGATTATGAAAAGGTAGGCTATAACTATGTTCCTTCTTTACTATCCTCCCAAACAATTAATGGACAGCCTTAAGGTATTAGAGAGAACTTTAATGAAATTTCAAGACTGCTCAAGTTTGTGATCTGCTAAAAAACACTCCATACTTATCAGTCAAATCTATGACATGGTAATTATTGGAGGTCTCAATGTGGCCACGGGTCTAGTTTAGGGACTCCTGGCATAAATGATAAGCAATCTTTGGGAACGAACCATTTCCTGCTAATACCCTTCCACACTAACAGGGTGTTAAGTGACAGGGAATTTCCTGAAAATCAGGAATCATACAGCGATTTCTCATGTATAGGAAAAAAATCAGGAAATGTACAAAAATTTTCCAAAATTTCCTGGATTATTTTTTTGTTATGCTCCTTTTGTGATAATATAAACAAGGTTGTTTGTTTCTTTTCTATATTTATATTATTATTTCTATATTTATTCATAAGGTGTGTTTAGACATTTCACAAACTATGGTAAACTCAATTATCTAACTTAACTATCAGCGACATTATTGCTAAACCAAACTATTTATTTTATTTCTCTTGATACCAACAGCAGATAAAAAATAATAAACAAAAATACTAGCATAGTGAAATAACCATTTGTATATTTGTTTATGGAACACCTAAACAAATCTTTATTGTTAGTCAACATTTGAAAAAAAAACAAAAAAAAAACGCTACTGTTGAAAATAATATATTTCTGATGATTGGAAAAACATTTCCCAATACATGCAACAAATATATATAAAAAAATAAAATTTGATATAAAGACAACTTGGTCTTGTATATAAGTTTTTATTCTTTCTTGCTACTGGTTTCGGTCCTTCATCAGGCTAAATAAAATATTTTTTTGCCATTAATTTTTTAGACACAATCCTATTTTGCAAATATAAATTAACATCAACAATAAAAACCACAATTTACAAAGTAATATATAAAATGAATAAAAACTAACAATTAAATATATATATATATATATATATATATATATAAACGAATGTATGTCTGTTTGTCCCTATGCATTACTAAACCATTTATCCGATCGCCATGAAACTTTGGGAAGTTGTTGCGTACACTCCCGTAAAGGTTTCTGGCATAGAAACACTCCCGTAAAGGTTTCTGGCACAATTTCTGTCTTATGATAATTTTAAATGTGTAAAAGAAATATTAATGTAAATGTTTGTTTGTTCAAAGCCACTATTCTCCAAAAATTATTCAGGTGGGTCTTGGCCGCCACTCATTTGCCTTAGTTATTGTCCAGGCTTGTGAAGCATAAGTAAAAATTGGTCTTATCAGAATCTCATACAAGTGTTTTTGTATCTCTGGTGAGCAGGTGGATCTTCATCTGTTTTTTGAGCCCAAAATAGCCATGATTTGCCAGCTGATTTCGAGGGTCATAAGTAAAAATATATAATAATATAAAAGTGTGACTATCCTTAACCTAACTTCCTATTATCCCTTATTTTATTAATATAAAATCAATTTTAATATAAGTTAACTGTGATTTCATACTGGAACTGTTATCATGGAATCGTTGTATACCTATTATCGCCAACTTCTAAGAGGAAAAAAAGTCACAGTTGTGTCACATTTGTAGTATCACTAGTAATGAAGGGGCAATATAGGCTGTGATTCTGTCACAGTTTTTGGGGCCGGAGGTGGTGATCACAGTGACAGGTGCTCCGGAATTACAGCACTCACAACTGTCACTGTCATTTCATAGTGCTTCATTACTACTCCAACTCCTAATACCAAGTTGAGTGCAGATTAATCATTTTGGATTACCAAAATTGCACTTTATGTGGTTTGCATTTGTTTTGTGTAGACCAGTACTCAAATATGCTTTACATGAAATAAAATAAAAAGGGTTACATGAGTATAGATTGCAATAAAAGTTTAAATCACACCAAAGTCAGCTTTACTCATTGGTTCAATTTGTAATTACTTAATTCGTTACCTAGAACAGAGTTTTTTAAATGTGATAATGCAGGAGAAAATATGGGGAAAAAAGGTAATATTTAGAGAAGCTCTAGACACCCTATTATATCAAACTTTTATATATTTTAATAAATATGTCATAATTTGTGAAGATTTGAAACATTTATATTATCTGTAATAGTTGTATGTAAGTGTATAGTTTCATAAACATGATATTCTTAACAGATATCACAACAAATAGTTAATTTATTCTTTTTTTTTTTTTCTTTCCAGTTGATTTTGCCGAAAGTTTTCAGTTGGCCGGAAAGAGGTTTGTCGATAACGATAGAATCTGGATGTATTGACAGTATTATCAAACAGCCTGTGTTATAACATTTACTGGAAATAATGTTATATGTATTAAGTTATTTGAGAGAATATTCTATAGATATTGTTATCATTTTTTTACTGAATAGATTTATTTATATTTTTGTGTATTGTTTCACCTCATTGGTTCCTTATTTATTACCTCTAGGTATTACATTGCATATTGAAGTTTTTCCACTTGTCTTTATGTCAAGTGTTGACAGTCACTATCCTCTGTTTATCAGTTTATATTTTTGCAAAGTATATATATTGTATAAAAATATTGCCTGACTATGATAAATGTAAATTATTTTAATATTTATATAAATATAAAAAAAAGCTAAATACATAAACAATCAAAATATGTTATATTTTTCAAATTATAATTAAATATATACACAATATATTTAAGTTAAGTTATTAAGTAATATAGGAATTAAAAATAAAATATAAGGTAATGAAGTTAACACTGTGACTGCTTGAATAATCCTAACTTTTATTTATATTGTCTACGACTTTTGTTTTTAAACAATAATAACTAAAACATACGTTTTTTATAATAATAAGGGAATACTACTTATCAATGGAAACTACTTATCAATGCACTACCTGTCATCCCACCCCAGTTCACAAAGTGAACTTCTAGTTCTTCAGTACAAAACTTAAAAACAGAACTGAAAACAAAAAGATACAAGTCCTTAAGGCTAAAAGAAAAATTAGAAAAAATAAATAAGTAATAAGTCCTTATGTAAAGAATAAAGGTTACAACCAATTATAAAATATACAACAATGAAGTAAGATTTACAAAACAATAAGCTATAATTAACACAAGTACTAAAGCTTGAACAGAGTGATAACCTAGTTAGACTGAAAATAAAATAAAAATGCGGTTTCTGCAGATCGCTCCTTGAGGTGATATTCTTTATCTGGGTCAAGGGGGATGCGAAGGTGCCGTACATGGGTATGTCTCACTCTCTGAGCTCCCACTAGCTCCTGAATAGACACAGTATTATGTTTTCGCAGCGCTACCACTTTGAATGGTCCTTCATATCATTGATACCCCTTTCGACGACTGGACGGTAGTTGACAGTACACCATACTCATCATAATCCTTTCCCTCTCTACCACTGCACAGTGTGGGGATGTCCTCTATAGAACTTGACCCATGTGTCCCTGTCCTGTACCAGCCATCTCTTCCTGAACGCCACCTGAGGAAGATCTTTTGGTTCTCTTCTGCACTTTGTGACCAAAATCTTCCCATGATTTTTATTGGGCTTGGAGAACTTTTATCTTGGCCTCGTTCTCAATCTAGCAGCATCAAGAATAATTTTCTTGAATGATAATCAGCTCTGCTCTATGTCATCATTATCCCATGGGTTGTTAGACTATCTTGCCATCCTATTAATTTATTTTTGCATGTATTGAACCATTTCTTCTTGTAGCCTGTAGGACTTTATCTTTTTTTTTATCCTTCTTATTGTGCCTTTTCTGAGGAGTTTCTTCATTCCATAGTCTGTCCAGCACCAGAAGGTAGTGATCGGTTCCAATCTCATACTCTCTCTTGACTCTTGCATCCATTACTTCACCAACCTCTTCTTTTCTTGTTAAAAAATAATCTATTACAGATCTTTCACTTTTTCCTGGCTCCTCTCTGGCGAATCTATGGATTTTTCTATGTGCAAAGAGAGTGTTTGCAATTCTTAATGCATTTCCAACACAAAAACAGAACTCTTTTGCCGTTATTGTTGACACTGCATTCCCTGAACTTTCCAATGACTCCCCTTCTCACAACCTACCCTACCATTTAAATCTCCAAAAATCATTCGGGTGCCTTCACAATTAACAACAACTTCCCTTTGCAAGTCATTAAAGAACTTCTCTTTTTCATCCTGCCTAGCATTATCATTGGGATCATATGCTACTATAAATGAATGTTTTTTATCAACTTCCAGGATATCCAGAGCCATTATTCTATCACTCACATATTTTATCCCTCTGACAGACAAGCATAAGTCATTGTGGTATCGAAATCCTACTTCACTGGTCGCCCTCTCGTTTTCATTGACACCCGAGAACAGAAGAGTGTAGTCCAGTATTTTGATTTCACCATTGTCATTCTTCTTTGTTTCTGTAACACAGGGATATCGACCTTTGTCCTCTTCATTTCTTCCACCAGTTCACACTCCTTTCCATTCAAGTGATTGACAGTATACCCTTCTTGTGGTAGATGGCCTCCAGTATTTACTCCTTTATGTGACATTGAGTGAAGGAATTTATATGAATGTGAGGTTGCACTATGAATTGTACTCAATTGTGCAGTTGGCAAATTGTTTATTGAAAAGTCAATGATATCAAAAAACAAAAAATATCAATAAACAATCGAGGAAGAAGGAAAAATGCTGGTAGATGGCAGCACCTGGAGAAAAACACCATAGGAAAATGAAAGGACTGGAGAGGTCCATGTCGCTGGCCCGGCACCTATGGAATTTCAAGTTGAAACCTATGCCAATATTTAGTACCTAATTTGTACCTCAAAAATTAGAATTAGTACCCCTCAGGAACCGGAGATATAACGCTCGTGAAAGTGCCGGGCCAGCGACAATTTATAAGATTTATATTTATTTAGAGAACATTTTAACACAATGTGTCATTTTGTTTGTAGATCTCGTGGGTATTTCTTTTAATATTATAAGGGTGGTGATCTTTGTCAGGATTTGCAATCAAAATTTCGTTAAATAAATAAAATTAATTTAAAAAATAAACAAATTTTACTGCAAATGCTGATAATTTATTTTCACCTTTTAATCTTAAATTTTAACTGTCAACTACTTATCCATCTCTAAAATAATATTATAGCGAGTATTTATTTTTTATTTTTAATAACATGTTACAGCGAATAAGTTTGTTCTTATTAGTATTTCTCATAACATAATTATTAATAGAATCCTATAAAATGCCACGTTCAAAATGCGCATTTGCATCTTGCAACAATAATCTAATTGACACAAAGAAGATGGAAAAGAAAGTTTCATTTCATACTTTTCTAAAGGACGCTCGAAGAAAAGATTTTGGATTTTAAAATGTAAATGTAAAAATATTGTAAAAAAAACAAAACAAATATTGTAAAAAAAAATACTATCTTTTCCTTAGCAAACAAAATGTATAAATTAATGAAGAAAGCCTTTCTTTCAGCACCGGAATTTAATAGAATCAAATTTTTAAATACCCAATGATTTTTACAACAATTAAGAAAACATAAAATCAAACCCAAAAAACTTGAGAAAAATCACTACATAGGATTATTTATAACTTAAAAATGTAATATTTACAAAAATTCACGGAAAGAAAACGCTACTTTAATGTTAGATTAAATACATTTTCTTTTCTTTTTTTTTTTTTTTCTCAATATTTCTATTATTTTATATTACGCTCTGTATTTATTTGAAATATTTAAAAAGAACTATTGTGGTACTTTGCAAAAAATTATACATCAACTTATTAAATTACATTTTATTTGCTTCAGAATAAACCAAATATCAAATCAACCTTTCTCTCAACTTTCAAATTTATTAAAATTAATAAGTTATTTGGCAATACAGTATCGATTTAATGTATAAAAGTAAATAATAATCTTATTTTATTATTATTTTATTTTCAATCCTCCCCTGCCTGAAGGCAATACGGGTATTTGCAGTAGTGGGATGTTACATAACAACCCACTGCTGCATTTTTGGCTATTACATTATTTTTCTGAGCTGTGCACACAGCTTGCTCTTCTCTTCACTTGCATCTGGTATACTTTTATTCTTATTCTGGTGGTCTTCCCGGTGCAGCTTCTCTTCTTCTTCCCAAAGAGAAGTGGGTTGGTAGAACAACTTCTTTCCATCCGTATATAAAACTTTTAAAATGATCGTATCTTTCTTTGTCCATAAGTTGAGGAAGATCTCTCTCTGTTTACGCTTGTGAATTATAACGTCCCGTAGATGTGTGTATCCAGTCGTTAGTAAGTCTCCCCGATTCCGTAGTGGATGACCGAATTCTACTTCCACTGGTGTAAAACCTGTAGCGGAATGGATGGTATTGTATGCCAATACCGCTCGAGGCATTGCTGTGATCGCTCCTAGACCCCTATGCAATAGGAACAATTGAAGATGTTCCTCTAAGGTGTTGTAAGACGATCGATAGACACGCGTCTTTGGGATTACCCCGGGAATTAAAATGCCACTTAATGTTTAACTCCGAGCATTCCGTAGTGGTGTTATTGGTTCCGTAGTTTATTTAAGGGTGTTCCCTAAGTCCCTCCCACCATCTGACGTAATACTGTGAGGTACTCCATATCATGACATCCAGCTAAACATACCTCCCCAAGCAGCTTCTTTCGTTTTATTACGCAGCGTATATGCATGCCATGACTAATTTGCTGAAATTGTCCAGGATTGTAAGCCAATTCGACCCTTCCCAAGTAAAGATACTGATCTGAACGTCCAATAAGGGTGAATTAGGAGTATGGGACAGTTCTGGATGGACAGTAATAGGATGTCTACCATATTTCGCTCGATGGCACTCCGTCCATGCTTGAAAGACCTGGCAAATCGATCGGCGCTTATGGTGCCAGTAATATCTGTGGCGTAATGTGGCAAGGGTTTCAGAGAATCCTTGATGTTTGGTTTTACCTTCGTGATAAGTTTTTACTAATTATTTTTGCCTCAGGATCTCAAATAGTCTCAACAATTTTTGAACACAAAATGAGATTCCTATCGGCACCTAAACGCTCTGTTTCAGATACGTACTTAATGCGATCTAAAATAGTTTTATTTCCCACATACAAGTAATACATACGTTTTGCCCCTCTTGGTAATATCATGCAGTATGCGAACAATGTCTGCCGGTGTCACCGAGGAAACGGTCCATACAGTCACAGTATTGTGGCGACCGTATTTCTTAAGTTCTATTCGTGACGTGCCCTCTGTGCGCGTTTTCCAGATAATCTGACGTGGTTGTTCTTTTACAATAATATCCACTTCCCTAAAATCCGGATGTCGGGTTTTTGCAGGAATATAGTCTTCATCGAAGTGGAAACCGTCATCCCTAGCAGCATTTGTGGAAGGGCCCATTTCAAAGAGCGGATTCGCATAAAGTGCCAGAGACAGCCAATCTGGGATAACATTTTGGAAGCCTTTTTGATGCAAAATTTGGAAATTATAAGTCCGTATTTTCTCTTTCCAAGGCCCACTCTAGCCGAAGATTGTTGGAGCCCTTCTGTCCACAATAAAGGTCTAACTGCCCAAAGAATTGCTAGAAGTTTACGCTCCAGCGCTCTATCCCGACTCGGCATCAGATAACTGCTTGT